TAATTATGAGATACAAATTTTGTTTATTTTTTTATTTTTGGCAGAGATTTACACCTTTATTYATCTGCAAAGTGACATTAATACGCTGTCGTACCAAAGCAGCTTTTTGGCACAGCTCACGAAGACTAGCAGCAGCTATAATTTCCTGTCATTTGTGGTTGCTTTTGTTTCTCCGTATAATGGGTACCATTAAATACTGAACAGTGCTAAATACACAATGTTGTCTCTCAAAGGTCAGAGAGCATGTACTGGACACACTGATTGACACAGTAAATGAAGTTCCTGTCAGCAGTCCAGAGGAAGCTCAGGTGGTCACCAGAGGACTCGTTTCTCTAACTGAGAAAGGCGACGAGCTCAGTGTGGACGCTCAGGTACTGCAAAGGATTATAAATCCGTTTTTCTTTTGAGCAAATACAAACTCGGAACATGTAAAAGTCTTGAGAATATGCAAAGCTTGAATTTTTAGCATCACTATACCCACTGCACATGTGTTTTTTTTTTCTTCTTGAAGTTCTTGAAGGGATTCATTTCTCTATTCTGGTGTTCAAATAACATTTTATTCTTCAGCAAATATTCAACGAGCTACTTCAGATTAAGTAAATTATTCAGGTCATTGAACTTGCTGTAAGAGCATTAAACTCTGAAGCTTTAATCATGAAATCTGTTCCACTTGGATAAAACTTACAAAAATCTATTTTTAAAATACTACGAAGTGTCTCTGTGCTTTTGAACCATTTCCATTTTTATTGCATTTTATTTATGTAGTTTTAGAGTAAAACACAGTAAACTCCTTAAATAAACCAGCCTGTTGTTAATATTTTGTATTATAGTTATATATGCATCTATGTATGTACATATTAAACATCCTGTATATTTAAAGTTTGCACACTTCATTCTGTAATTCATCATAGACATGTTTTGCCTCAACATTGTTCAGTGTCGTTCTGTGTAAAAGTTTTACTAAGTGTAAAAAAAAGGAAAGGATTATGTTAAAAATCAGTTTATATTTACAATAATTCTTACAACAATAATGATTAAAACCAAGTAAGTAACATCATTTTTCATATATTTTTTTTTAATTAATGACAGTCTCATCTATTGTAGTTGCGTAATTTGGAGTATTTTCTCACCCCCAGGCTTCTGCCTCCTTGTTGTTTGCAAACCTCAGCATATCTCTGTTACACACGATGAACATGAGCTCAGCCGAAGAGGAGGAGRAACTGCTCACTGCAGCCAGCATCATCGTGCAGGGAGTGGGCAACATGTTGCAGTATTCTTCCCATGTGAGTCATCAACTTCAAAGCCCACGGAGGCGAGATTTACATCTCAAAGGAGGATTTGGGAATTTTAAAGATGCAGATRTACAGTTTAATTTTGCAGTCTACAGTTTGTACATTTATTTGTTAGAATATTGGCTATGCTATTTAGAAAAATGTGAATATATTTAATGCACAAAGTACTTTTTTCACCTGTAACTTTACAGGTGAGAAATAAAGATGTTAGGCATTAAATCAGTGCTAAAACATAGCATACTTGAAACCAGACCAGTCATAAGTATACTGAAAGAACGCTATTTTGGAACAACTAATTTTATACTAAATATATTTTAGTTGTAATTAAATTGTTTAAAAAAATCAATTTGAAGTGTATGAAGTGTACTATTACATGCTACAGTGGAACTTAAAGTATACTTTGTACACTTTAAGTATAGGGTTTTGTGTACTAATAACATTTTTGCTCTATGATACTTTGTACATTATTTACTTCAAACTAAGGTACTGCAAAAGTATTAGACTACCAGTATACTGAAGGCTTAATTAAATAGGAGACTGTTGTCCATTRTTTAATTCAGCCTTCAGTAAACTGGTAGCCTAATACGTTTGCAGGACCTTTAGTATGAAGTAAAACACCCTGGTGAAAAAAGTACTATACTAAGTATACTAAATCTAAGTATACTTTAGTATACTTGAAGCCACACTAATCATTAGTATACTTTAAAGAGTGCTATTTTGAATCAATTAATTTAATACTAAATATACTTTAGTTGTATTTAAGTTGTACAAAAGCACATTTTTAAGTGAATTAAGTATACTTTTAAATACTAAAATGGAACAACTTCAAATATACTTAGTAAATTTTAATGTTTATATACTTACAATATATTAAGTATATTTTAAGTTGTTCCATTTTAGTATTTAAAAGTTTACTTAATACACTTAAAATAGTACTTTTGTACAACTAAAATACAATTAAAGTAAACGTAGTATTAAATTAGTTGTTCCAAAATAGCACGCTTTACGTACACTGATGATTAGTGCAGCTTCAATATACTAAAGTATACTTTAGATTTAATATACTTTAGTATATTTCTTTTCACCTGGGATGCAAAGTGTTCATACTTGCATCTACATCCTGAAAAACACCAAATCATTTATTGCTCACCTGTTGGTCCTTGATGCAGAATTTATTTTAGCTGAGGATGTCTAGTTTGGAGGGTTTGTTATTACATTCTGCTCTTTATGCCACTTGCAGCAGAGTTTTAAGATTTATTTTTTTTATTTTACAGAAAAACATCTCTGATGCTCTTCTTGAAGCTCTAACCAACACGCAGACCGCACTGCTGAACCTGAAGGAGACGGATGAGGAGCCAACAGTTATTGTAGAACCCCACATTAGTTTATACGTCAGGAGGTGAGTTCCACTTCAGCCAAAAACTTTCAAAACCTGAAAGCAAGGCTCCACACTTTACTACAAGACAATTCAACTGGTGGCCCACGGGCCAYGTCTGGCCCGCGAGGGACCAAAGTTTGGCCCACCAATTGATTCGTTGATCTCTTAAGCCCAAACCCCTGGATTTCTACTTTCATTACTATAAGTTATTTCATTTAAACATAGACGTGGTATCTACAGAAATGTCAGAATCTTGGCTAGAATCTGCTAAAAATCATTTCTATGAACATCCAAGACAGTTAAAACTACAAGCAGTTGAAAATAAAATTATAAAAGTGAAAATAAAATTGGTTTCAAGTATTTTGACAAGTCTGAGATGTCAAAACAATATTTGTGTTAATTGGGAGGTGTAATGCGTTATCTTTGTTTCTGATATTGTTTTATTACCATTACTTTTATTAGATTGGGTTCTGAGAGMAGATTCATTCAAAATGAATGAATGAATTTTAAAAATGTATTATAATTTTATTGATTTTGTTTTATTTCACAGGGACATTTATTTATTTGATGGAACACGTATTAATACTTTATTAAATACATTATTTATTTCATTTTGAGCGAAACGGCTCTCCATAGTTTTCATGATTAAATGCAGCAAAATAAACCATTTAAAAAGTAAAAGATCTTTGTAATACTTGGTTTATTTACATAATGACTTTAATTGCTGGATGTTCGACCCCTGAGCTGTTGGCCCCCGGAGCAGTTTAGTTAAATAGCCCTGCTTTACAAGTATAATACTTATATTGACTTAAAAAAATAACAAATATTTGATCTTTTTCATCCAGAGTGACACCAGAGAGKTTAAACTTTGGATCTTTGAGTATTTCCAACAGTTCTTCTCCCACATTTGGTCTGCCAGAACTGCCTTCCAGCCTGTTCCCTTCAGGAGAACCAGTGGATGTTCGAGTAAGTCTGAACACTTGGTGTGTGTTGTGTGACTGGACACAAGTACAGGTGTTTCACAGCTAGCGTGCGTGTCACWTCAAGCTTTTTCCCAATTTTCACAAGTGTCCCTTCCTGCAATGTGATTTAACGCGGCGTTGCTCTTTAAATACACCCGCAGATGCTGAGTTTAGATAAAAACCCGTTTTCCTGGAACGACAGAGGCAATATCAGCGGACTAATAGGCGCTCTGTCGCTCACGACAATAGATGGATCCGGTATCCCTGTGGAGAACTTAAGTGAAGACATTGAGGTCAGTGCAGCGTCTGAGGTTTGCTCTAAGATGTGATTACCTGTTGAGACCAAGTTCACTGTGCAGACTGAGGAACAAACATCCACTTCTACAAAATGCAGGCTTCAAGTTTCAACAAAATCAAGTGATGACGCCAAGTGATTTAATTACCATGAAAAATAAAATCTGGGTCGAGTGCAAAGAGTTTTTTAGGCTGTCATCATCTGAATCATCVCCCGCCACTCAGGAAGAATCAATGAGTAGAAGACATTTGATTTGTGGCTGAATTAAAAATGTCTTTACCCAGTTATTTATTTTTATAACATTAGAATACAGTCGCAATTTTCTAATTCATACATTGATTTTTTTTTAATGATTGAAAAGGTTAAACATTAAAGTGCCTGTGGCATCATTTTTTGTAATAAATACAAATGCATTTTTAGAAAGATAACCTTGATAACACACTGCAAAACAAAAATGACCGTTTTCAGATGAACAGTTGTTGAGATTTTCGCATGTGAAGTAACAGGAAGTGACATCAAAGGGGAATGTCTGCATTTGAGCCAAGCGTTGCTGCAACAGCTAACACAGACAGATTATTTTTTTTTTATTTTGAGTCACTATCAGAGATGTGAAGGTTCAGAGTTCAAATTACATTGTTTCAACAGCAATTAAAGAGTTGCCCTTTGATGTCACTTCCTGTTTCACTTTTAAAGCCAAAGTTTTGTGAAAAAAATAGGCAAAATTGTGTGTGTTATGCAAAGTTTCTGTTTTATTTGACTTTTTRTAATTGAAAGACATTCATGTCACAAGCACTTTAATGGGTAATGTTTTTTATCCTTGCCTCATAATTTGAAATCATTAAAGGTTTGATTCAGATATTCTCTTATGAAATGAGAGACTTTAAGCTGATGGGTCAGTTGTCTTTTTTCTTGGGGTTCAAATTTACTGAATTAGATTTCTACAAACATTAGCAAACAACAAAATATTAGAAGGAAGTTTGACCATGATTTGGAAAATTACATCCTTTTTTTAAAATGTCTCAACCATTAAACATTGGAGGCAGAGGAAGTTTGGTGTCTTGCCTGAATAAGTTGCAAAATTGCCCTAAAGTGACGCTTCTGTCAAAACTTCAAGAATAAATGTAAATCCTAACGGTCAAATTGCCCTTGCAGTAAACCCAGAGCACCAAATCCCCCGTGGGTGTCAAAAATTTCATATTTTTCTGTAATTATTTCACCATCTGTGCACATTTGTTCTCAGCAGAAGAGCAGCAGTTATGTGAACCTTTTAGAAATATTTTTTGTAGAAGCGCCACATTTAAAATGTCACTAAAAATGAACTTTAATTTGAAAAAAGACAGGAGGAGGTTTAGTTTTGACCTCAGCTGCCACACGATGCGCTACAACTCCGAATATATAAACTTAAAACTGCTGCTAAAGGGCTYACTGGTTTGAAGTCTTGAATAATCACGTTAAATTAAAACGCTGCAACACCAACCTCAGCATGTTATTTATTACCACTTAGCATGCTGCTTTTATTAACATATATTTAAAATTGATGAAAAGAAAGGTATACTGTATTTTCCTTCACTTTTATCTGTAACTGGTGCCACAAACTATTTAAACTAATAAGCAAATTAATGCAAAATTCAAAGTATAGACAAACGGTTAAATGCATCTACAGACACCGAAAAGCATTTTTTAAATGTCATAACAGTATTTTTAAAAAGAATTATGAGCAAAATCTTTTTTTTTTCTGGACATCTTCTCTGCATTTTTTGTTTCTCAGATTCTGCTGCCAAGACCCGATGGGGGACAAGCGAACACCTCAGTTTTGGATCTGGGGAACTACAGCACAACAGCCATAGATATCCCCTCCGCTAACAGCACCCTGCTTTTAAAGGTTTACTTACATGTTCCTGGATGCTAAACATGAATATGTCATGAATATTTCATCAGGACCAAGAGTCTCAGTTTGTACATGCAACTTCATGAGCTCACCCCATTCGTTCACATAAAAATGTTTTTAGCATGTTCTCTTTGCAGCAGAGGAYGTTCATACATGTGTTTTCTGTCATGCCTGCACCTCATTGTTTCTGTTTTGTTTGGCTTAAAAAGGGTATATTAATTGAGAAAAACAAAGCTAAACAAAAACACAGATGTGAAACTGAATTACTGACTCTGAGTCACCRCATCCACACAAATACCTTTCCTGACTGAGCCTATGGCTGTTATGAAGTCATCCAATTATTACTTTTAATTGAAAACAAACAAAGAGAACACCTCAGGACATATAAAAACTAATTCTATATAAGCTTTAATCTTATGTTGTGCGTTGCTTGGACAGTTACAACATGCTAATTTGTATTTTTAAAGATGGTGCCTTCAGAGGATCATTTACCTTTCAAATTGTACCTCGGTTACATGAATTACCCCACTGACACAAATTATGTAGCRATGACAGAAATGCCTCAAACCGGATCTACGCAAGGTAACTTTATTTTTCTTTCTAATACTGTCAACATAAAGTGTTTCACTGATTATATGGGGATATCTGTGTGTGTGTGTGTGTGACACAGAGGAGCGATACACGTGGATTCTCAATCCTGCAGATTTAAAAGGAAAGACTGGAATCCATTACCTTGTGGTGAGGCCTATTGTGGGTCCTGGTATAAAATCTATCAACGCCACGTTATCTRTTACCCCCATCACATCCTCATGCAGGTTTTGGAATGAAACCCGTTTGGACTGGAGTGACAACGGTTGCAAAGTAAGTACGATAATTTAATAAGCCTCTCGTGTAAAAAAACACGTYGCTTCAAATCTTTTATAAAAATAGAGATGACTGTCGTTGAAGGTTGGTGTGAAGTCCACACCGGTACTCACCCAGTGCCTCTGCAACCACCTCACGTTTTTCGGGAGCTCCTTCTTTGTGACTCCCAATCTCGTCGACCCATCACGCACCGCTGAGCTTTTCGCGACCTTTGCTGAGAATCCGGTCGTAGTGTGTTTTGTCGGCGCGCTCTTCCTGGCCTACCTGATCGTGGTTGTGTGGGCACGGAGGAAAGACATTCAGGACATGGCCAAGGTAACGTGTCTAACTTTCACACTTCAACTTATAGATTACATATCATCACAAGTCTGTTTCAGTCTTTTTCCTCTCAGGATTTATTTAGAGGAGCACATAAAATATATTTACAATCATGTCTAGATATCTATGCAGACAGCTGGATAGATGATCAATATTGTTTTATTTTCTCATGAACAGGTGAAGGGGACTATTCTTGAGGACAATGACCCTACGGATAATTATCGTTATCTTTTATGTGTCTGCACTGGACATCGAATGGGAGCCTCCACTTCCTCTCAGGTAAACGTTCCATTTACTTTGGAGGCTGACGTTTCTGTTGCAAAACAACCTGTTTATCCCTTCAAGGTGGTTAAAAATAATCTGAGCAACAACTGTGACATTTCTTTGGGGTGCTGTTTGTAAAGTTACACATTAAAAATTTACCACCAATATTTTTGTTTTATTTAGCCTTTTGTAAGTAAAAAAAAGAACAGATTTATTTTTCAAAGTCAGTTTTTCATCATATGAT